GCAATACATACTCAGAACTCAGCACTTCCTAATTTATTTTCTACCTTTTGCTGTTTTCTAGGCTCTTGAAATTATTTCACCCGTTGTCTGTGTCTGGCGGAAGTGTGCCAGTGCACACCCCTTCCCAACACCGCCTTTAGGGAGATGGGGGTGGTGGCTTGAAATTGGTTGTATTGATTGGATTTGGCACCAGAAGAGGAATTAAGTTCCCTACCCCTTGGAAGTTTACGATCCCACTGAACTGATGTGAAAAACAAAATGAAATAGCGTATGTGGAGGAGACCTAGGCGTGAACTTGCTAGGAGACAGGAGAGCTAGAATTCTGCTCTCAGCTCTGAAAGGAGCGGTGCACTTGTGGCAAGTCTCCTAGGCTTGCGTCCCAGGGTTTCAGTCTGAAATCACATGAGACCAAGCTCCAAGCTCCACGAAGGCAGAAACTGTGCCTATAGTTTGTTCACTGCATCTCAGCCCAGTAGCATAATTGTACATGCATGGCAGGTGATGCAGCCATACCTGTTAAATGAGTGAATGGACATGTGGGTGCTGTTTCTACCCACTCCTCCAGCTGTGAGTAGGTGGAGGTCCCAAACAGCTGCTAAGAGAAGGGGCACAAGTCTGAGAGGCAGGGACGGCCAACAGGGGCCAGCTGCCCCAGATGCTTCACAGGGAGGGGCTCGTGCTGGACTCTGAGCAAAGCTGGGTGAGCTGATTCAGAGATCACAGTGGCGATTTCACTGAGGCCATGGTGAGAATCATGAGGGGACATTCCTTTTTGTTTACCTCTGCCATCTGGCACCTAACTTCACACTTTGGTTCAAAACCCTCTCCCATCACCACTGAGAAGTGTGGGAAAATCCCAGCAAAAAATTAAACCGTTCTCCAACACACACACTCCCCACGACCACCTCTAACTCCCTGTGGAGCTCATTCCAACGTTCCTCCCAAGAACTCTTGCTGATAATCCCAGAAACACTTACCTCAATTGCCTGGGTATATTTCTTCTCTTTCTTTGGCTAATATACAACTTTTTCTATTTACAAAAGCTACAAATGGAATGCAAATGTACCCATTTACTTCTCCATATTGTTATCTCTCAGATTCTGATTTTAAAGAGGGAAGCGTTGCATTTGTGAGAACATTCAAATTTAGTGTAAATTTCAAAAGAGAAGGTAGGATCTTTCAGTTACTGGAGGTGCAGAAACACAATAGCCTATTTGTCTGTTCCAATTATGATATTCCATGTCTTTACACCCCTTACGTCCCCCTCCCCGAATAAAACCGGAGTCCGCTCTTCTTTTCAGAGATGATGGAAAATGCAAAGCCATTACCACTGTAGTTTTTGGTTTTGTTTAACATTCTAAACTGCTTTCTGAGCGAGTTCAAGGGTGTTCGGTTTTAGATCAGAATTTTGGATAAGAACATTATAATTGACTTTTTTATATTTATATTTATTCAGTTTTTTTTTTAAAGGTGGGATTCAAAGGACTAGTCTGTTCCATGTGGAAAGATGAGATTTAGGATTACGGGCTCACCAGTGATGAAGGGTGTGCTATGAGTGAAGATAAATTTGTTCCCCAAATCTGACATGCCGGAACTAAGGGGATAAATGAAGAATCAAAGGGGTGCCTATTTACAAATCCATTTAGAACCGCATAAAGCTGGAGGGGACCTTGGCAATCCCAGGATCCCAGAAGTTGCTGATGCCCAGCAGAGGCTGATGGAATTAAAATTTCCTCTCTGCCAACTGAGCCATCTTGGGCAATTTGTGTCTTTTGAGACTCAGTTTCCTTTCAATGTAAAATGGAGATGATGGTCTATGTGAAAGGATGGCCAGAAGGATTCTTTATTAATCCCAGGAAGTAACTGAGGTGAAAAGTCTACATATCTGGGGGTGAGAAGTAGAGGAGTTGAGTTGATACAGGTTTGGGGTTTCCATGAATTGGTGGGGTCCCAACTTCCACAGTTGGCACTTGGAAGAAGCATGCCTTAGCCAGGGTCAGAGATCAGAGAGGGCTACCCAGATGCTGGGTGTGACTCCACTGGGCCCCTTCAGGGCCCTTCAGAGCCCGTTCCTCTACGCCTCATTCATACATACTTCTAGGGTCTTATTAGTTCACTGAATAGATAATATATTCTATTAGTTTGAGTTAAAATGCTAACAGGTGGTAATGACTTTCGATTTGCAGCCACTGGCATATAACTCCTCTATTTCAACCCAAACAGTGAATGACTTAACCCAAAAAAGTGATCACTGGGAGACCTTCCAGTTTTTTGTATAAACCAAGGCAAGAAAAGGGACTTGCTTAAACAGAGGGGTCAGAAGAATGGCTGTGCCAAACGTGCGCCCATGTACCAGACTACCCAGCATCGGCAGACATGACACTTGCTGCTAATCTGATCATTTGTCCTCTTTTCAGATCCTGGAAACAAACCCAGTTTTCAGAGACGGCTGCAAGGGGCAGTGAACGTACAGAGTTCACTGTAAATGTAGCTGGCCCATGTGGATTCAAACCTAAGGCCTAACAGACAGACAACAGTCCATGGTCAACTACCACAAGGGTTCCTACTGCTCTCTTGAGTAAAATCCCATCTCAGTGACTCTCAAGGCAGGGACAGCCTTGACATTACAAAGCTGCCTCTTTCCCAGCAAGTGTGCTCAAGGGGCATTGCTCTGTGGGGCTGGCTACAGGGATTTGTCTATCAGTTAGAACTGTTCTGCAAGTTTCCACTTTTTCTCTCTACTCACAAACACCCTTCACGAGTGAGTCCAAAGAAGGAAGGCTCTGAGCCTGGAATGATAACATGGATCACCTAACAGGAAACGGAAATAGCTCTGTTATAACAGTGTTTGCAGCCATGAACTTTACCTGACCTGGGATGAATTTAGGATCATGGCAATCTCTCCATGACATTCAGCATAATAAAGGGGGTGGGTGGCAGAGAAGCAGAGAACAGAGCAAAGAGAGACCAGCCAGTATCTTCCTGCTCTCTTGGGTGACTTTATGAATCAATTACAAGCTACACAGCAGACCACAGCTGTATTGTAGCTCACATCCCATAGCAAAGGTGCCTCTGCCTCCCTCCTAAACAGTGAGCTGAATGAGGGCAGGAAATGTGAGTCTCCTTCCTTGTGGCATCTCTAGCCCCAGGTTCAGAAGCTGGCACAGAGCAGGTGCTCAGTAATATTGCTGACGATGGATGAATGAATGAGAGACTGAAATATTGTACAGCATGTCAGGAACACCTGCTCTTACCTCTCCCTGTTCAGAATATCCCAATCATTCATCTCAGAAAAATGAGAATAAAGTGATAAATACAACTCCACACTCCTTCACCACCCATCAAGCAAAACAGAGGGAAAGATCAGAAAACTCGGCATCAGGATGGTGAGACCACAGGACCAGCCACCCTGATAGGAAACCCTCTTTGATGTCTGTTACCATCGCTACCACACAGGGAGGGGGCCAACAAGCATTGTGCTCACCATCAGAAGGGCACACCCCGGAAAAGTAGGCAGTATTCTGTAAAAGGAGTGGAGGTGCACGGGTTTTGTGAAGGGCTGGGAAAGAAAGAAAGTGTTGTCATGGGAATTAGTACACCCCTCCCCTCCTCTGGAGAAAAGACATCTGCCCCCCATGCTCAGAGCTTTCCTGTCTCTCTGTTGTGCTTCCTTCTCCAGCTCTCCAGTGAAGGGCACTCCTCCTGCAGGAGACAGCTTACCCTGGCTCCCGGGGTCAACAGCAGCTGTCCAGCAGGCCCCCAGCTGGAAGCTTCCCTCAGTCCTTCCTCCCTGCAAGGGGCCTGGCTCTACATGGGTAGCCCTGGGAGCTCAGCCCATCTGCCCTGCCCAGTGCTTCCTAGCAGTTAGGATATTCCATGTAGCTGCTACAAAAGGACTCTTTCCCCCCAACTCAAACCCCAAACACCCTTTCATAAATCAACTGATCATTTCTGAGAGGTCAAATTTTCTGATTTGAGGATTGTTACAATTAGCCCAAGGAAAAAAATGTACATAATTACCTAATTCCAGTAAAACTTAATGGGGCTCATCCCACCCCAGGATAGTGGTTGGTGCAAAATTTAATTTGAGTTAAATTGTCAAAGGCTGGGGAATCATAAAATATTCAGCATGGGGGGGCATTACCCCTTGTGGGAGCCATATTTTCTAGCAGGCCTGTAGATCAAGACAGGACGCTATTGATTTTGCAAGGAGAGGTCAAGAGCTGGGGAAAAGAAGCCCAGCCTAGGAGTCAGCCCCGCGAGGGCCCGGCACGGGGAGCGGACAGTTCTAGCCATGACTGTAGGACTTCAGGCAACTCCGGGAGACCCCCTCTCGCGTCTATCAGTGGGGACCAAGATGACTGCCGGGAGAGGATGGTTTGCCACGGGCGGGCATCTAGCCCACAAATTGCAGTACTGCATCTCTGGCCAAGTTGGCCAGTCTTGGATATTTCTTCCCTCCCCTTCTCCTAATTCGTCAACTGCTGGAACATCTGCCTGGCTGAAACCGCCTCCTCGGCGCGCCGGGGGGCTGTCCCCAGGTGCTGGTCTTTGTGTCGGCAAAACTTTGCAAGAAAGCAAAGGCGCTGGACAAAGAGCGAGCGAGGGAAGGCGTTTGCCAGCCGGCGGGGCACGCGGAGCGGTGCGCGCTGTTCCTGGGCTCAGCCAGGTACCCGGACGCCGCGGTGCCCCGAGCCCAGCCTCCTTAGGCAGGAGTGGCAGGCTCCGGCCACATCCCAGCGCCCTCGCGAACTGAAAGAAGCCAGGCAGGAGAAGCAAAGGCGGGCGGCTGGCCGTTGGAGTTGATTAGGGTTGGAGAAGGCGAGCAGGGAGCGGAGCAAAGCTGTCAAACTGCGCGCGGAGCCCCGCGCTGGGCGGAGGGAGGAAGGGGAGGGGCGGGGCGGGGAGGGGCGAGGCGGGCGGGAGCCGGGAGGGAGCAAGCGGGCTGGCCGCGCCTGAGCAACCCCCGGCTGCCGCTGTCGCCACCGCCGCCGCCGGCCCGCGCCCGCCCGGAGCGCAGGGTGTCCGCCCCGCCGCGCGCCGCGCGCGGAGGCTCCAGCGTCTGCCCCGCTCCTCGCCCCGGCCGCGCGGGTCCCGGAGGGCGCGAGCCCACCATGCAGCTGCAGTTCCGGAGCTGGATGCTGGCTGCGCTCACGCTGCTCGTGGTCTTCCTCATCTTCGCAGACATCTCGGAGATCGAAGAAGAGATCGGGTAAATAGCTGCGCCCGGGCCCGCGCCGAGCCCCGGCGGGATCCCTCCCCTCCCGGGGCTCCACGCCCCACCGCACACACCCGCTTTGTGTGCGCCGCGCCTCCCTACCGCTCAGCTGGAGAGGCGGGTAAGGCTTGGCCCGGGGTGGCGGTGTCAGGGCACTGGGACCGTTTGGGGAGCGGAGGGTAGGGGCGCGGCTGCCGTGAGGTGTCCCCGGGCGGGGAGCCCCGGCAGCCTCCAGCGGGCCGGAGTCTGGGAGCAGACTCGCCCACCCTTCCCTCCTTTCCCCGCGTGTCCGCGCGCGATGTCGCGAGGGTCGAAGGAGGGCGCCGGGGAGTGTCTGGGGCGGGCGGAGGGGCCGAGAGTGGAGGAGGCAGGAGTTTCTTTGTCTCCGGCTCGGCCGCTTTTTCGCCTTGGCAAAGTGGGCAGGGGGCGCGCGGGGATCTCCGCGCTGGGGGAGGGGATCCCCGAGCTGGAGAGGAAGGTGGGGGCTTTGCACGCGCTCCCGGAAAGGGGAGTGTCCCCGGTACACACTGACAAGCACACGCGCCTCCCGCGGGCCCGGGAGCCCCGGCGTGGGGACGCGGACCGGCCCCGCGAGGGGCGGGGCGCGCAGGGCTGGGCCGAGATCCCCGCCCTCGCCTGGCTTTGGACGCTCAGCCTACCCCGCGGCGCCCCCTGCGCCCCCGGGTTCCGGTGAGCTCTTAGCGCGGAGACCTTTCGGGGAAGTCTACCCCGCCCGATGGTGTTCTGCGCCCCCAGGCGCACGGTCTTGCCCTTGGCTGTCTCCGGATCTCTCCAGAGGCCGGGCAGGACCGCAAGACCCTGCCCTGCAGCGGGACTTGCAGGAGTGCGCACTTGGGGCGCGGGACGCACCCGCCGCGGGTCCGGGAGGCTGAGACTCCCGCCCCGCCGGGCCGGCCCGGGCCCTTTCCCGCTCCGGCGCCACAAAGAGCCTCCGAACGGCGGTGGACAGGTGGGGAGGCAGCCGGGGTTCCGAGGGTCCCCGAGGAGAGCTTCCTGGCCCCAGGCAGGGAGAAGGCGAGGTCGCAGAGAGGGCGGGGACCCCTTCCTGTGCGGGGCCAGCTCTGAGCCAGACGCGTCGCGCGAGTCCCGCGCCGCGTGCGCCCCTCCTTTGTCCCGTTTGTTATTTCGTTTGTCGTAAGCGCGAGCAGAGGGCCCGCCACGCTGACTGACAGGTCTCCCAAAAGGGAAATGCCAGTCCCGGGCCCAGGTGCCAAGGCCCTAAGGACGCAAAGGTGGGGCAGGTGCCTCTTTCCGCTCTCTTCTCCCTGCCCATCTCGACAGCCCCCAGATTCCTTCTATTCGCGCCACCGCACTTCAAGAACCCCTCTTTCTGCCCCCTCTTCCTCCTCGGTTACCCCATGAGCTCTGAAAACTTTCATAAATGCTGCTCAGTTAATACACGATTTGTTCCCACGCGGAGATGGGGAAACACATAACTTTCCGTGGTTCTTCGCCTCAGAAATGTGGGTCTGAAAGAAAATCGGGGTGATGGAGGATGCGGTGGGGAGGGCCTCCCTTTCGGGTGCCCACTTCTTTTCCCAGATGTGGGCTCTGCCTGGCCCGGACCGCTTGCTCACCTTGACACGTGAGAGGGAAGGACTGACAGCTGCCCACTGCTCGCAGCGAAAACGTTCAAGGTGTTGCGCTTATTAGACACCCCTCCCTGTCCATTCACTGAACTTTTACAGAACACCTAACTTTTAATTTTTAAAATGCGATCAGGAAGTCATTTTATACATAATACTGCACTTTCCTGCCAAACGCATTGTAAAGCACTTGTCTTCCCACATCAGGTTGTTTCTACACGGTATCCAGGAATAAGCTCCATGACTAGGGCAAAGAAGAGCATTTCCATATATATTTACAACCCAGGGCTCTTATGCTATGGGTGTGTCCTCTAGGACCTGTTTCACTGGGGGTGCCTGCTTGGGCTGAACCTGGCAAAAACTGTCAAACAGTTCAAAAGTGTTATCTTCCTGTGACATTATCCTTCCCTCCCTGTGGCCCTGACCTCAGGCTGAACCTTGGCTTGACCTGTCCTGTTCCAGGCCGGAGATACCATCCCCCTCTTAGTCCCTCGCCAGTCTGCCCCACACCCTTAACTCAGAGGAGCGAAGGCATATCTGGGGTTTTCCATGGGGCTAGGGGAAGGATATGGGACGGAGGACAGGAATCCCAGCAGCTCTTATATCGGCTTACAAACCAGGTTTCAACTCAGTCGCTTATTGAATCCTCGGAACCACCCTCACTTTGAGTAGCCAGTCAGTGCCCAGTACAGTAAGGGCAGTGTTCTGCCCAGTGGCCAGTGAGGGGCACAGGAATAGTGCTCTGTCTTCCTCACCATATGCCTTCCCAGGAAACCTGGAATCACGTTCCAGATCATGGTGCCATTGTACCAGTCCTGCCCGCCCTTCCCCAACTTCATCTTGACCTGTGCTAAGGAAGATTGCAAATACCTGCCTGTGTCAATCCCTGGGACAAAACAATGGTCCTGTAAAATGATGGCTCTTTCTGCAAGGTGATGAACAGTAGGACCCTGTGATCTGTTATGAGGGAATGAAGGAGTCTCTTTTTGGAGTGAATTTTCCAAGGATTAAGGAATGAGATGTGAGAGAGGAAAGAGAATTACATGTGTATTCTCTGGAGGAACAAAACTGAGACACACTTTTCTTAAGCCCTTGATTCCCTTTCTTATAAAATGAGGTTGTGGATGTGGTCTCAGAGGTCGTGCCCTGCCCAAGGAGCCAGTGTAACAGATTGTGAGGGGCAGGACTTTATTCCAGGGACGTTTTCTGAGAGACATGTCTCTTTTCCTAAGTGATAATTTTCAAAGTTCCATTTCTTGCTTGCTGGTGGAAATGCCTCCCTGGAGCTGATGAGAAAAGGAAATGTAGAAAGATGAGCTCTCTGCAGTGCACTCAGTGAATTCAGATTCTCCATCGGACTTGGCTGGAACCCCCATCAACTCCTGTAGTCCCTCAGATTTTAGAGTCGATTAGACCAAGCTGTAAGCTGAAATCTTTTTCTCATTGTCCCCTGAACTTTAGTCTGGAGTGTAATCTCCAAGAGATGGGTGAGGCATGGCTGTCTTGCCCACCACAGTGCCCAAAGACCTGGGCACACAGAAGGCATTCAATAAATGTCTGTTGGGTGAATGTCCTTCCTGGGACTGGCACACATGGCATCCCTGGGCAAGGATGACACTCACAGAGCCTTGGGATGGGAAGGGGGGATGGAGCTCCCCCTAAGAAACCTCCTCTCTTTTTACAATTAGGGTATATTTGACCCTGAGAAGCAGCATCCCTGACCCAAGGTGACACCCTGGCTGGTTAAGGATGGCAGGGCTGCTCCACACCCAGTGCCCTCGTTCACCAGGGAGCTCCTCTACTCATAAAAGAGTTAAAGGCCTCTGGCTGAAGAGTAGGTAACTAGCAATAATAAGAGTAATCATTATAATGATAAAGATGAAAATGATGATGGTCTTTAGCACTTATTGATTAATTGAGTGCTTGCTATGAGCCAAAAGCTGTTCCAAGTGCTTTATAGACATTAACACCTGCCATCCTCGTGGCAGCCCAGTGGTCACCTACCACTGGCATCAAGAGCTATTATTTGTTGAGCTCTGTGTGTCAGACCCTGGTCCAACTGCTTTAAAGCACTAGTTCACTCAATCCTTCCTGCACCTCTCTACGCTAACTACTGTGGCGACCTCCAGCTATCACTGAGGAAGCTAAGGCTCAGAGAGGTTATATTCCAAGTCCTAAAGCAAGTGACCCTAGTTCTATGAGAAGGCAAAGCCCGTGCTCTGGAAGCCATCCCCCCGACCCCCACCACTGGGCTAGACTGCCCTGTCCTCTGGGTTCTTTCCCCCTGAGGTGATATCATGGAACAGCTCTCACAATCGGCCTTCCCAACTCATTGCCCAGGACTCTTCCAAAGGCCCAGAGTTTTCCTAAGAACCTGGTCTTAGTAGTTTTCCCCTCAACAGTTTAGAAAGAGGGAAGGTGAATGGTGAGTCCCGAAGAAAGACTCAGGGCTTGTCTCCTGAAATGTCCGTCTGGTCCGGTCAAGTTCAGTCTGATGCCCTGGAATGAACCATGACGGAATGGCACTATCCCCTGGCTCACCAGACAAGCTCAGCTGCGAGGGGCATGAACCTTCCAGATGCACAAGTAGGGCCTTGGGCTTCTAAAGGAGGGAAAACTCCCCGTCCATTGCAAAGCTGATTTTGATGTCCGTTGGGTGGGCCTGCCCACTTCTACATGCCATAGGATTGGGCATCCAGGGTCTGGAGCAGGGTGAGCGGAAATATATTCAACAGCTGGTCCCTCTTGGGCACTGACCTGTGAGCGTGGACACATGAGTGGTCAGAACCAATGCCATGCAGTACACTGCGACCAGGGGTCCTAGTGGACCCCAGCCAAAGATCAGGCCCTGTCTGGGAAAGCAACAGACACGGGGAACTAGCTTTGGTCATCAGCTGTGACTAGATCTGTCAGCAGACAGCAGCAACTGCCCTCAGCTCGGTGGGGTGAGGCACACCTTCTAGTGGATGAGTCCGGGTGGATGTGAATGAGCAGTTTCCGGCCAGACCTTCTGGAAGGGGCATATGTACTTGCTCAAGGTGATGCACTTTTTTTTTTTAAAGCCCATTCTTCTCCCCAATCCTGGTGTGCTTCACTTAAGTAGAAGCATGATTGGAGGATAAAATGGGCAAGAAAGCAGCTGTGTTTTTTAACTCACTTGCTCCAAGTCCTTGCTGCCAACTGTCCCTAGCATCAAATTTAAATTGTAAATAGATATCCATCTTAGAAACCGGTGCACCACTCAGGCCCTCTTTCCCCTTGTAAAGTAGGGTTGCTAGGTTTTAAAATTGTTTAGGTTTTACAAATTGAGGATGTTGTAAATTGCAGATTATAAATACTTATTGGAGAGAGTGGAAGTCTATAAAGCCCCCCAGTGCCTTTAGCACA